CAAACTCACCAAGCCCATCCGATTGAGCCGTAGCTCTGATGTTATAGTGTTGGCAAGTGATTTCACCTCGCAGATCGGAATACTGAGTGCATCCGAACCCTGTCTGAAGTGACGCTTCGCTCTTCCCGCCCCGAAAACGGACAATAGTGATCGACTACTTCATTTCTGCACAGATCACCGGCTGTTCTTATCTAGCACCAACTTTCGACACAGCTTTCGTCGGAGGTTGTTCTACTTCAGCCGGTAAGTTAACCCAAATTAACCATATAGCTGTAAGCTACCCTTGGCGGGGTTTGATACAACATTGCAGATCCTATTGGAATACCTGCTTTGAGTTTGATCACGCACTACTTCTGATGCGCTCCATGCTTCGACTCATCGGTCGTCGGCCGAAATCACCTCCTCAGTTAGCTCATCATCTTCTGTGTGATCCATCTGTTTGCGCACGTCATGGGAAAACTCTTGAACAAGAGCTAGGGGGTGGTGGAGTATACAAACAATGGGACCAAATCAGACGTGCAATGCATTTGACAGCAAACTTTGCTAGCGGGGCTGAGCCGGAAGTTCCTCGAAGACGTTGGATCTCTCAGGAGTCACCAATTCTGATGGAACAAAAGCAGATCAAAATCTGCAGGACCAGCATAGAAACCGGTTGTGTCTGCAACATCAGTTCAGGAAAAGCCATACGAAGGATCGCTAAAACCGGTGGGCCAAAATAACTAGTGAAATGAAGGTAGCCTCTGCATTAGGGAATAGTCAAAGACTGTTTCACCTGATACGCAGCACTGGAGGTCGTCGCATATCGGTCAATGAGACCATTTATGATTAAAGTGGACAGAATATCCGCAATAAAGAACGACTTGATCGCCGGGCAGAATATTTTCGTGAACAGTCCAATGGGCCTGGTGCTAAAGCGATTCCTCCGACAATTGCAGCGGAAACCCCGTGGGTGATATCATGTGAGCCTCCATCAGAATTGAAATAACGAAGCTGGATTCAATCATTAAAGAAGGAGAAGGCTGAAGGACTTGATGGGCTTCTACCAATTCTTTTTAAGGTGACACAGCGACTGCACGAACCACCGCGGGATTAGTTTAGTTCCAATAATCACAAAAGTGTTGAATTCTGTGATATTCCGCCGTCTGACACCCTTAAGAGAGGTGAATAGCCGCGAACAACAGGCTGGATTCCGACCAGGTCGCGGTTGCATCGACCAAATCTTCACTCTGCCTCAAGTCCTCCAACTGCGTCACACAATCGGCCAAGAATCGCAGTGTTCCTTGATCTAAAAGGAGCCTTCGATTCAGTTGACTGTGAAGCTCTTCTGGGGTCACTGCTTTGCAAAGGGAATGCCGCGGAAGTATGTAAACCTATTGCGGTCGCATACTCCTGGTGGTGTAAAGGTTTACGGCGGGCTAAGTAGATCGTTCGGAACCAGGAGCGGTGTCCGTCAAGGGTGCTCTATTTTGCCATTCCTGTTCAATTTCGTCGTAGACAAAATACTGGAGGACGCACTCAGTGGTCTCCAAAACGTACGTATCGAATAGGCTGAAGAAATGCTGTGTGATTTAGAGTACGCCGACGACATCGTTTGTCTGTTCGAATGTATGGAGGATGCGCAAAGCGCTCTTGACAGACTTTCAAGTTCTGTAACTCCTTCCGGCATGCGCTTTGCACCTTCAAAGTGCAAGGTGATGCTACAAGACTGGGTGTCATCTACCCCAGCGCTGATGCTTGATGGTCAAGCATTAGCTATCGTGGAATGTTTCACCTACTTATGTAGCTGCGTGACAAATGACGGTAGCATAGTCAATGAATTGACTGCCCGTATTTTCAAGACACGAGGAGCTCATTCAGGACTGGAACACCTTTAGTGCAGATGCGATGTTTCGTTGAAACTGAAAGGTCGTGTATACTGCGCCAGTGTGTGGTCAGTCCTGCTCTATGGTTTCAATACCCTAGATTTGCGCGCGTGGAAGATATTCGTCGTCTAGAAATCTTCGAC